AACCAGACCTGTCAAACACAGAAACTTAAAGCTGCTAAAAACTCTGAGCTCTTCCATAAAATGTGTAAATTGATCATGATGAAGAAACTGATGGCAAGATGAGACTACTACTCCTATTAGCTTCCATGCTAAAAATACTGGTCTTTCTGGTTTTAAGTTTGACAGCTATTATATCCAAGTAGTTAACTTTCAAAATTAACAAGAGGTGATTTTCCTACACACAAATTAAACCTAAAAGGAATTCACTAAAATTGTTTGGTTTTTAAGGCAGAACAGTTTTACAAAATTTCCACAAATATAGTTCATATTTTAATTAGAAGACAAAAGCAGAATTTGTAATCAATACAGCTATCTTAAAACTTTAGTAATTAAATTTCAAATGAAACTGAGGGTCAGGAATTAATAAAGTTCTTGCAACTTAGAAGGCTATTATTGTGCCATTAATACATATTTCACATCAAGATTCTCGACAAGATTATGGCAGAATACTAGAAACCAGAATTTTAATTGAATGATATATAAAGGCAAATGATAATTATCCTGGCCTTGATAATTACGTTTTGTTCATTTGCAGTTGCTGGGAACAGAACAAGCTTTCTGAGTATGAGACAAGGACCCTACAAAGAAGCTACTTTCCCTGCCCTTTCTCTATTATGAGGCAGGGTCTCTCTCATTAAGTTGCCCAAATTGACCTCAAACATGAGATTCTCCTGCCTTTGTATGCCTAGTAGCTGGTATTATAGGTGTGAGTCACTGTGCCTATCTTGAACATTTCTTAAACCAGTTTTTCTATCATCTGAGTTAAAAACAGGAACACTAGAGCTGGGGATGTGGCTCAAGCGGTACCGCACTCTCCTGGCATGCGTGCGGCCCGGGTTCGATCCTCAGCACCACATACAAAGATGTTATGTCCACAGATAACTAAAAATAAATAAATAAATATTTAAAAAATTCTCTCTCTCTCTCCCCCTCTCTCACTCTCTCTTTAAAAAAAAAAAAAAAAAAAAAAACAAAACAAAACAGGAACACTATACAGTTAAATGAAGGAATGAAAAGCATTGCCAAGTCCGGGAGAGGTGGTTCATGCCTATAATCCCAGTGACTCCAGAGGCTGAGGTACAAGGCAACTAGCAAGACTATCTCAAAATAAAAAATAAAAAGAATTGTGGATATAGCTCAGTGACAGAGCACCCCTGGGTTCCATCCCTAGTACCACATTAAAAAAAGAAAACTGAAATTTTCATGAAGTAAATCCTTCAACTCTGAAGAGACTGCAGTTCAAAAAGTCAATTTTAAGACAATGAATCATATCACAAGCTAAGATTCCAAAAATTCAAGATTTTTGATGAATAACCACAGGCATATTTTCATTGCTGGCGTAATATCATCTAAAAAGATTAGTTCAAGATATTAGGGACCAGGGATGGAGCTCAGTAATAGAGCTTTGAGAAGTTATCATGTGAAAGGCCTTGGGTTTGATCTCCAGTACCACAAAAAAATAAAGGTAGGAAAAAGAAAGATATTAGGACAGGGATGTAACTCAATGACAGAGTGCTCATCTAGCATGTGCACAGGCCCTAGGTTTAATCCTCAGTGTAGCAAACAAACAAAAAAAAAGAAGTTCAAGACTATATGCCTTACAAAAACCTTCAGAAGTTATTCAATTAAATATATGCAAAGGGGCTGGGGATGTGGCTCAAGCGGTAGCGCGCTCGCCTGGCATGCGTGCGGCCCGGATTCGATCCTCAGCACCACATACCAACAAAGATGTTGTGTCCGCCGAGAACTAAAAAATAAACATTAAAAATTCTCTCTCTCTCTCTCTCTCCTCTCTCACTCTCTCTTTAAAAAAATAATAAAATAAATAAATAAATAAGTAAATATATGCAAAGAAGCTTAATAGTTAATAAACATAGCTTTTTTAAAAAGGCTAAAACATACAAACAGCCTTTCTTATAAGTTCTAAAATAAATTTTAGGGCTTCTACTTTAGAACATGAAAGAAGAATAGGGTCTATCCCACAATGAACAAGTGGGCAAATTATGAGAAATTATTCACATATTGAAAACCAGGCAGTGAAAAAATCATGGTTCCTGAGAGTAGGGAAACAATATGGAGAAGGGTATAATACAACATGAGGTCCACCTAAAACCTTCTACCAGGAAGCAATTTCCAGCACAAGGAATGAAAATCCAAACAAGCCCAGCAATCTTGCAAAATTGACAAAATAACCAGACTCAAAGTGGCCACACTGGCTAGACTGACTACACAGCAATTTACAAATGACTGACAAGACTGGCAAAAGGATTCCAAAACTTGTATTAAAATGTGAAAGATTATAATCCTAGCAACTTGGGAGGCTCAGGCAGGAGGACTGCAGGTACATAGTGAGCCCCAACAACTTTACAAAACTTGTCTCAAAATAAAGAGGACTGAGGACATAGCTCAGTGGTAAAACACTCCTAGGTTGAAACCCAGGACAAAAAAAAAAAAAAAAAAGATTAGATTAGCCAAAAGAGTAAACAGGAGTGGGGATGGGGGGTTTAAAAGACTTAATACCACTTGATTTTTTATTTCAAGTCCTACTATAAAAAGCTCTACAGGACTTACTATAAAATTCTGTAATCCAGATAATGTATCTAGGCCTAAATATACACAAAAGACAGAGACTGATCAAATATGGTCAACTGATTAGATTACCAAAAAATCCAATGGAAAAAGGAAAATCTCAACAACAAATAGCCCTAGAACTGAATATCTGCATTTTAAAAACTGATCCAGTATGTAATTATGTATAACCCTGAGGATCTCCTTCCATTTCCATGCAATTTCCCTTCTCTCTCCCTTTCCCTCTCACCTCTCATCCCTGTTTAATGTTAGTCGTCTTCTCATGCTCTTCTTCCCTACTCTGTTCTTAGTTACTCTCCTTATATCAAAGAAGACATTTGGCATTTGTTTTTTAGGGATTGGCTAGCTTCACTTAGCATAATCTGCTCTAATGCCATCCATTTCCCTCCAAATTCTATGATTTTGTCATTTTTTAATGCAGAGTAATACTCCATTGTGTATAAATGCCACATTTTTTTTATCCATTCGTCTATATTGAAGGGCATCTAGGTTGCTTCCACAGTCTTGCTATTGTGAATTGTGCTGCTATGAACATCGATGTAGCAGTGTTCCTGTAGCATGCTCTTTTTAGGTCTTTAGGGAATAGAACCAGAAGGGGAATAGCTGGGTCAAATGGTGGTTCCATTCCCAGCTTTCCAAGAAATCTCCATACTGCTTTCCAAATTGGCTGCACCAATTTGCAATCCCACCAACAATGTACAAGTGTACCCTTTTCCCCACATCTTTGCCAGCACTTGTTGTTGTTTGACTTCATAATGGCTGCCAATCTTACTGGAGTGAGATGGTATCTTAGGGTGGTTTTGATTTGCATTTCTCTGACTGCTAGAGATGGTGAGCATTTTTTCATGTACTTGTTGATTGACTGTATGTCCTCCTCTGAGAAGTGTCTGTTCAGGTCCTTAGCCCATTATGAATTACAGTAGAGGGGGTAGAGAGAGAAGAGGGGAGGGGAGAGGAGGGGAGGGGAGGGGGGATAGTAGAGGATAGGAAAGGCAACAGAATACAACAGACATGAGTATGTCAATATGTAAATCAATGAAGTGTAACTGATGTGATTCTGCAATCTGTATACGGGGTAAATGTGGGAGTTCATAACCCACTTGAATCAAAGTGTGAAATATGATATATCAAGAACTATGTAATGTTTTGAACAACCAATAAAAAAAAAGAAAAAAAATGATAATTATGAAGATGTTGCACAGACACATAAAAGAGTTATTATAAAATTTAAAAGAAAAGCAACCAATGGATCATTGTAAATGCTGTATAATTGCAATTATGTTAAATATATATACAGCTAAATGAAGAATTCAACAAAATATTTTATAGGCATGATTTTATGGTGGTAAAATTATGGTTGTTTTTAATTTTTAAAAATATCTTTCAATGTTATAGTATTTAAAATAAAGAGGAGAAACATACAAAAAAAAACTGATCCAGGCACTGAAGAGATAGCTATAGCGTAGACTCATGTCTAGCATACACATGCCCATGGGTCAATCCCTAGCACCAAAAAAAAAAAAAAAAAATTAATCCCCAACCCTTTCTTTGCACCATTCACAAAGTTAAATCAAAATGGATCATGGATCATAGACCTAAATATAAAGCTGAAACCATAACCATAAAATGTCTACAAGAAAACACAGGGCCAGTCTCAGCACCTTAGCCAGATCTATCTCAAAATAAAAAATAAAAAGGTATAAGGATGTAGCTCAGGGATAGAGAGAGCCTCTGGATTCAGTTCCCAGTGAGGGGGATGGTGGAGAGAAAACAAAAACTGATAGTACTTTCAACACATATCTTAAAGGGCCTAAAATATTTTCAAAAGAAAATTACACACCTCAATGAGAAAGCAAATCACTCAACTAAAAAACAATGACAAAACATTTAGACACTTTTAAACAAAACATACATGTTAATAAACATAAAAAAATTATTCTCAATATCATTAGTCATCATAAAAATGTAAATTAAACTCATGATGTGATACCACCACTCCCCCAGTAGAATAGCTAAAATTAAAAAGACTAATAATATTAGTCTACAGGGAAAGCTGTAGAACTTGAACTTTCATAAATTGCAAGTAGATTATAAAATGGTACAGCCACTCTAGAAAAATTAGAAAAGTTTCAATTTACTATAAAGATTAATATATACTTAAGACCCTGCAATTAACACTCTCGGGTCTTTTACCCAAGAGGGAAAAAGAGAAAAATCAACCCAATGACTTATACTGAATGTTCACATCAGTTTTTTTCATAATAGCCTAAACCAGAAATACAAGTTGTTATACTCAACACAATAAAATATTACCTAACAATAAGAAATAAACTATTGATGCACATAATATCAATGAATCTTAAAAATAATACCTATGCTGTCAGGCGTGGTGGATCATGCCTATAATCTCCGTGACTCGAGACTGAGACAAGAGGATCACAAGTTCCAGGCCAGCCTCCACAACTTAGCAACCCCCTAACCAACTCAGTGAGACCCTATTTCAAAATAAAAAACAAAAAGCTTAGGGATAAATCTAAGCATACAGACACCAGTTTTTAAAACATTTTTAGTTATACATAGACACAATATCTTTATTTTGTTTATTCATTTTTATGTGGTGCTGAGGATCAAACCCAGTGTCTCACATGTGCGAGGCAAGCACTCTGCCACTGAGCCACAACCCCAGCCCAATATAGATACCATTTAATCTAGCAGTCCTACTTTCAGTAATGGGTCCCCCAGCAATACAAAAAATATACACTCACAAGTTTATTCACTGTAGCATTATTTTAATTACAAAATATGGGAAGCAACCGACAGTACTCATACATAAAAATTGTTTGAATAAACTATAAAAGTTAATGAGATGACGTAAGTAAAGGGAGAATGAGAAATAACTATTTAATAGGTATCCAGAGTTCTGCTTTAGGAAGATAAAATGTTCCGGAAATGGAAGACTGATGGCTGCAGAGCAATATGAATGAACTCCATGCCATTGAACTGTATACGTCAACATGGCAGATTTTGTTATGCAAAATTTACCATAATTAAAACAAAATGAATAGGAAAGGTCTCTTTGATATAATGCAGCATTCTTTCCAGGAAAACTCAGTAAGGGGATGGGGAAGCAAAATGCAAAGACTATATACTATGCCATCTTTTGTCTAAATATATATATATATCTTCTTAGAGAGAGAAAGGGTGGGGATAAACCAGAATGTTACTTATGAAGAATAAGAAAAGATAGTGTAGAAGGGATACAGAAAAAAATACACCTTTAGTGTAATTTTGACTGGGGCGGGGGTGGGAGGGGTAATGCTAAGGATAGAACCCAGGGCCTTAGCATGCTAAGCAAGCACTCCACCACTGAGCTATGCCCTCAGCCCCAGTTTTGACACTGAAAGCATACTAACATTCTACACACTCAAAAAATAAAACCAACCAAAATAAAAAAGGGCACAAAAAACTTAAACTCAAGCAACAAATAAATTAACCTAATTTCAATTCATATATAGACCATAGTTAGATTATACAGAAAGTAAGGTAGAAAGTAAGGATGGGAAGGAGAACATGGAAGAAAGGAAGGAGGGATAAGGAGGGATACATGGTCAATCCAAGTTTTGGGGGGTGTGTTTTGTTTGAAGTGGTATTGGGGACTGACCCAGAAACTTGTACATACTAGGCAAGCACTCAATCACTAAGATACTTGGATTGAGGGCTGTGAGTGTAATTTAAGAACAAAATTTAATGATTCACTCTTGTCATGAGCAGAATTTGAGGGTAGAGGGATTTGCAAACAAATCTTCCACTCATCTTAAATGAGTTTATTAGGACTAGGGTGTAGCTCAGTGATAGATTTCTTGCCTAGAATGTAGTACCCAAAGTGCACCCAAAAAAACAAAAGTTTATTGTAGTAAAATGAACAAAGCAATTCTAAAATTATAGAGTTGATGTGTAAATGTATTAATAATGTTGAAGGCCAGAATTCTCACAGCATAAGACATTTAAAATATGAAATACAAACCCTAAGAAAAAACACTAGACATAAAAGTTGGGAATACTGATATAAACTCATGATTTCTAAAATATGTATATGCATGTTTCTGTGAACATGACTATGCATGTGTGTGTACAGCCTGCATATTTCCTAGCTCTGTCTACTAAAAGGGCCAAGATGAGAAGACAACTCAAAAGCAATAAGGACATTTACCACCCATAGTTCCTGGGTCTCTAATACATAAGGACACAGGAACCCAGTTGAAAGAGTGTAATGGGACCCAGACATGGTGGAATAAGCCTGTAATCCCAGCAACTCAGGAGGCTGAGGCAAGAAAATTCTGAGTTTCAGGCCAGATGTGGCAACAGAGGAGAGCCTGTGACAAGAAAAGAAGAAGGGAAGGAAAGGGGAGAGCTTCACTGGCCAAACCTACAATTTCAGCAACATAATAAGGTAAAGTAATTAACTGTAAACTATTCAAAACAAAATAATAATTCATTAGTCCATACCAATAAATAAAGCTCTTGATTACAGAATAATGCTAAGAGTTCACTGGCAAATGTAAAAGGAATGCTGAAAAGAGAAAATAACCAATTTGCAACCATCATAGTAAAAAAAAAAAAAAAAAACTGGATCAAACAAGATTCATCAATGAATACTAAATCTAGGGAAAACTGAGTAGAATCACAATATCTATATTATCTCCTATAGTCACAGTTTATTGCTGGGGTCAAGGACAGGCAGATTACACAGTGGAGAAGCCTGGCAACACCTTGGCCAAGTGGTCCAAATTAGCATCACAGCAAAGGACAGATAAACATGTGCCTCCAGAATTTATGTTCTCAGGATATAACATCACCTATACAATATTTCAGCCAAAAATATAAAACCTAAATCTAATCACAAGGAAACTTCAGACAAGTATAAAACAAAGGACATTCGGGCTGGGTTTGTGGCTCAGTGGTAGAGAACTTGCCTAGTACATGTGAGGCACTGGGTTTGATCCTCAGCACCACATAATAGCAAATAAATAAAGATACTGTGCCCATCTACAACAACAACAAAAAAAAAAAGTTCAAATAAATAAATAAATGAAATGAAGAACATTCTATTAAATGGGGCTGGGGAGGTAGCTCAGTCGTAGAGTCCTTGGCTAGCATGCAAAAGACACTGGTTTCCATCCCCAGAACAGTTCATTGCTGGAGATGGGGGCTTCAAAAATGTCAATATCATAAAAAAAATAAAGAAAGGCTGTAGATATATCCCAGGAAAAAAAGAGATTTAAGAAAAATAGTAACTAAGTAGTACCTGACCTCAGGCGGGATTCTATACAGGAAGAAAATGTTATGAGACTTAATTATATCAAATGGTAAGGCTGGAAAGTGGACAAGTTTGTAGCAATGTCTGTTTATGAAGCTGTTAACTGTATAATGGTTATATAAAAGAATTACTCTGTTCTTCAGAAATACAATAGAAACATTAGAGAAAAGTAGCACAATCTTATTACGCTCAGATTGCTCAGAATGTAGAGGGAGAGTGGCAACAGGAAAAAAAGAAGAGGCAAGAGAGCCAGCACACACGAAATCAAATAATACAAGTACGTGAGTCTAGACAAAGGATATCTCAACTTTCTTCATACTGTATTTTTATAACTGTTGTAAATATGGAAACCAATTTCAAATAAAGTTGAAAAAACTACAGAGAGAAGGAGAAGGAAAAGGGGAGGGAGTGTGGAATGAATTTAATAAAATCCTGTTATATGCATACATAAATGTACCAAAGGGAATTTCACCTTTATATATGTAGAAAGTACCAATTAAAAATAAATAAAGGAGGGGCTGAGGCTGTAGCTCAGTGGTAGAGAGCCTGCCTAGCATGGGTGAGGCACTGGGTTCAATCCTCAGCATCACATAAAAAATAAATACATAAATAAAGTTATAAAAACATATCTTTAAAAATAAATAAAGCAGGGCGCTGGGGATGTGGCTCAAGCGGCAGCGTGCTCGCCTGGCATGCGTGCGGCCCGGGTTCGATCCTCAGCACCACATAAAAATAAAGATGTTGTGTCCATCGAAAACTGAAAAATAAATATTAAAAAATTCTCTCTCTCTCTCTCTCTCTCTCTCTCCCTCTAGAAAAAAAAAATAAAGCAAAAGGAAGATCAATAGAGTAAAGGAGGGAAAGTGGAAGAGGAAGAAGATAGGGATTAAAACCAAATTCCTTGTATATATGATATTGTCAAAATGAACTCCAATATATAATTAAAATGCTCTAATTAAAAAAAAAAGATGGAGATTATTCTCTGCTATGTCCAGAACAGAACAGAATGTGTACATATCATATTTAATTGAGGGATTTTGTAGGGAAGTTGAAAGAGCTAAGGCTGGTGGCTTACATGGATTCCCAGATAAAGCACCATTTTGAATGTCAAGAGAAGGGAGTTTATGAGTTACATACACATCTCCCTCTACCTGTGATGGGAATGGAAAGCAGGATTTCCTACATGCTCAGCAAGTATTTTACCAAGGACCCCAGTACTTGTACTAATTTTTCCCCTGTAAACCAGAGAAAAAAATTTATTTAGAAAGATCTAACAAAATTATAATCAGGTACAAAAACAGTAGATAAGTAAGCCGTAAAGACCCATGAACAAAAATAAGCATGAAATTATGGGGTCTTGGCCTGAAGGAAGCTAAAATTAGAAACAAAGTAGAACAAATACAAAAGACAGAAAAATAGCAAACCAGATAAGTCCTGTTTACTAAATATATCAAAGAGGAGTAAGATTCAAAGAAAACTCAGATTTCCAAATGAGCTAACCAAGAGGATGGTATTACTAACCAAAATAAATTTAACTAGCTCAGCAAACATAACTGCTTTCTAAGCTATCAAACTTTTTATATTTTTTTGTCCTATTCTGCTGCAACATTAAAGTGAAGAAAAGGGTTAGATAAAATGTTATTTGCCAGTACAAGATGGGGAAAATAATTTTCACAAGGTAAACAGTCAACACGGGTGAGGGCTGATTCAGATTTTGACTAAACACCCTTAAAATAGTGGCTATGTGTGTGGGTGTGTGGGTGGGTGTGGGTGGGTGTGTGTGTGTGTGTGTGTGTATTCACTTGAATATTCCAAGTCCACTCATTCAACTAGTATTTGGTAGGGGGAAGAGGGAGTACTGGGGATTGAACCCAGGGTCACTTTGCCACTGACCTACATCCCAAGCTCTTTTTTCTTTTTCTTTTTCTTTTTTTTTTTTAAAGACAGAGTCTCACTAAGTTGCTGAGGCTGTCCTCAATCCTCTAGCCTAAACCCCACCCGACCCCCAACCCCAGTTGCTAGGATCACAGGCGTGAGTCACTGCACCTGATCTATTATCCTTAAAAAGAAAACATCAAGCACCAAACAACTTTAAACAAAATTACAAATTAAAGAAAAGGGTAGTATCTTCAGAAGATTAAAGTCAAAAAATTACAATGAATCAAATAGAAAGGAATTAGTTACCTGGCTATGCAGTCAAATGATATTCAAGTGGGAGTTTATTTTTAATGGTCTCCGAGTCCACTGTTGAGCAAATATTTTGATTCTGTAGACAAAAAATAAAGAAGGTTCAATTTTATTGTCCTTTCTTCACGTAAGAATTAGTATTAGTCAAACTAACCGTTCCCATCTGTCCCTTCCCTGAACATGTGAAACAAACTAAATGTATCAAGTACAATGCCAATCTTCCTAGAATTTGAGTAGATACCTTACTTAGCCATCTATAATACTTCCACTGGCTTGGGGCGCCAGGCATGACATACAACAATACACTTCCATCACTGTTTCTACACATGGATAGTGCAAAATAGGGTATATAGAGGAGACCAGCTCCAAGTCCTGAGAAGTAATGAAAATTATGAGTATTCAGAAACTGTAGGTATCCTCATACGCCCAAATCCATGTTCAAAAGAGAACAATTAAAGCCAACTTAATGCATTGGCAGAAGCTAATGCTTAAATACCTCTATCCAAAATAACCTATACTAACCACATAAAGGGAGAGAAGGAGAAAGAGATAAAAGGAAAAGTACAAAGGAAGAAAAGTCCCAGATGTTTCTTACCCTCTATTAAAGTATGCATTTAGGTTACCAAAAATGAGTGTGTGCGAGTCAGAGTGTGTGTTGTATGTCTGTCTGTCTGAGGGGGCGGGGAGTTTACAGGATATTTAAGCCAGAGACACTATATTACTGAGCTACATTCCCTAGCCCTTATTTTTTATTTTGACACATGGTCTTACTAAATTTCCCAGGCCAGCTTCCAACTTTAAATCCTTCTGCCTCAGTCTCCTGAATTGTGAGATTACAGGTGTGCACCCAAGTGCCTAGTCGAAAAAGAAATATCTTTTTTTGTTTGTTTGTTTGTTTTTGTTTTGTTTTTTTTGTTTGTTTTTTTTAAAGAGAGAGTGGGAGAGAGGGGGACAGAGAGAGAGAGAGAGAATTTTAACATTTATTTATTTTTTCTTAGTTCTTGGCGGACACAACATCTTTGTTGGTATGTGGTGCTGCTGAGGATCGAACCCGGGCCACACGCATGCTAGGCGAGCGCGCTACCGCTTGAGCCACATCCCCAGCCCCCAAAGAAATATCTTAAATGGGGAAATTAGGGGCAATTTTTCAAAATAATATACACTCAAATACATGATCATATAAATAGCAGGATTTTGCAGATCAAGAAATAGGGAGCAGGGGGCTGGGGATGTGGCTCAGCGGTAGAACGCTCACCTAGCACATGTGAGGCCCTGGGTTTGATCCCTCAGCACCAAATAAAAATAAAGTCATTGTGTCCCTTTACAACTACAAAAAAATAAATTTATTTTTTTTTTAAAGAAAGAAAGAAATAGGGAGCAGATTCTGGTAAAACAAAGAAGTAAGCTAATAAAAACATTCACCTCTCCTTATGAATTCACAAGTTTAACAGTAAAGTAACATCGATATCAAGACAACAACCATGACTACCATATGCCCTAAAGTTAAAAGCAGTCATGCTAGAATTGGCAGGGCTAACAGGAAAGGGCATAGAAAAAATGATACATTCATAAATTCCAAGGAACAAACATATTATAGGCTATAGTCAATTTACAGAGAGTACACAGGGGCCAGACAACCACAATCCTGATGCAAAGTATGAATGGTCATTGCACTTTTGAAACCCAAAATAAAGAGGAGAAAATGGAGGCAGGAGGGAAGCACATCATATATGGTTTTTGCAAAAGGTAAGAGGAGTAACAGAGCTGTGCAATGACATGCCTATTTGCAATCACAGCTCCTAGTTTATAGTGAGATATATGCCAAAAGTAGGCTGGCTACATTTAGAGCCTGGACTCCATCTTCCAATCTATAATAATATGATTAATTGTTAACATAACAGTTACAGAACAGAAGCTTTAGAGCAGTCCAGATCGAAACTCGATTCCCAGCTCGTTCACTTACTTGCTAGGCTTGTAATCTAGGCTTACTAAGCCTGGTCAATTTAAGATTCTAGGGCCTCAAAAGAGAGAAAAAAGGTTAAATGGAGGGGTCATTTGATAAAGCTCTTGTGAGAATTAAGTGAAAATACATATAGGTAATTTAAGTAATAAGTAATTAGTACCTAGCATAGCCCACAAAACCTCAAAAAAAATTATTGTTAACCAAACAAAATGCAGACACACAATATAACAAGAATTTCCAAGCACATTTAAATAAAAGTAAAATTTAAAATAAAAAAAGTAAAATCATTTGTTTCTGTTTTCAAAATTGTTTTTGAATTTTTGTGCTGTCCCATTTAACTAGAGGAAAACATAGGGGAAGATAGTCAGAACTTCTTTAAAGAACTTCTAAGATTTTTCTGGCCCTCATTTTAAATCAGGTTTCACTTCAGATTTTTTTTTTTAGTTGTTTTTGTTGTTATTGTTGTTGTTTATTTGTTTTAATATTGTTGCTGTTGTTCTGTTTTTTAGAAGGGTGAGATGAGACAGTAGTGAGGTGGGTAGCACATAAGTAAAAGAATTTTAAGTAAGGAAAAGAAGTCAAGTCAAAGTGCCAAGTACCTAACAACTGACCCAGGACACAATCAATTACTGCTGCCTACTATGGGAAGTTAAAGAGAACCCAGTTAATATTCCAATATCCTACAACTGGTTTTCATAACTTTTCCTCAAAGAAATGTTGACACTGCCAATCTGCACCCTCAGACAAAGACACACCATCTACAAATTTCTTTCCTCCCAGCCTATAGTTCTTCCAGCTAGACTACAGATATTCCTAAATTGTCAACACCTGATGATTGGCTTGTCTACCAAGAAACAACATGGACACAGTCTAAAAGTACTACACAGCAGGATTCTGTAAAGCACGGAACCATTAGAAAAATTGGGTGAGTTAAACTTGTCTAGAACCAAGATTCTCTCTACAAAGTCAATAATACCAGGTTTCCCAAGACATGTTTTATCTTTATCAAAAACACGCTGATTTTACCACTTTACACAATTATGACTTTAGATAATCACACATACAAAAACCTAATCACACCGACATAAAAACTAAATATGATATTTTCTAAAATATTAGATAACTAAAAAGGAGGGAAAAAATTAGTTTATCTACTGTAATTAACAGAAAGGTAACTGATGGACCCACATTATCAAAACCTGTATTACCAGTGATCAAAATCCCTTCATCAAGAGCTAAAGGGTAAAGGTGGGGGAAGGTAATACTGCTGAGCTCTGTTAATAGCCAGTCTGAGAAGATGTGCCTCCAGGACAGAACAAAGAATCAAATTGAGGGAGGAGAGTTAATAGAGGAAAATCCAAACTATAATACTAATGCTTAGAAAGATCAACAGAACAAAAAGCAACCACTGAATATTATGAATATGTTTTTCTTTGCTGTGGAACATGGAATGGGGTGAGCAATCTACTATCAATCATATTTAAGTTCATTGTTCTTTCCAGGCCATTTGCTGGCACGACTCAAGAGACTGCCTTCTCAATTTCTGAAATCATGGAGATGGGAAGTCACCATCTTTGGGAAAAAACAGCTGTTGTCCACTAATCTTCGAAGTATTGCAGAATAAGTTGGTTCATCAATTAATTTTCAGGTTACTTAAAGGTTGCATAACATTAGTGTTAAGTTTAACATTCTTTCACAGGATTATTTATCAAGTGATAAATATAGCCTTTGTTGAAACTGCAACAATAGGTTTCACTTGGAACAATCTATCGCAACCAACCTGTAGCTATACTGAAAGGGAAAGAAAAGATCTGATGTAAATTTAAGATGCCATTTATTTTGAGGTACACAGACTTAACTCAGTGAAACTTTTTTTTTTTACTACTTTTTTTTTTTTTAAAGAGTGAGAGAGGGGGGGAGAGAGAGAGAATTTTTTTAATATTTATTTTTTAGTTCTTGGCGGACACAACATCTTTGTTGGTATGTGGTGCTGAGGATCGAACCCGGGCCACACGCATGCCAGGCGAGCGCGCTACCGCTTGAGCCACATCCCCAGCCCAATACTACTTATTTCTTAGTCCATTATTGCGTGTTTGTTTTGTTTGGGGTGGGGAAGGTTAGTGGGGATTGAAGGATTGGAGCCAGGGGCATTTTGCCACTGAACAAAACTCCCAGTCCTGTTTTGTTGTTTTGATTTTTAAAAGAGACAGGGTCTCACCAAATGCTGCAGCTGGCCTTAAACTTGCAATCTTCCTGCTCAGCCTCCTGAAAGGCTAAGATTACAAATATGCACCATTAAATACTATCATCTTTTTGACAGAGGAGAAGAACTGTTGCAATAGGTAGAGTCAACCTGAAAATTCAAATGATGCAATGAAAACAGAAGCCTAGGGTTCAGAAAATGTAGGTTTTATAAAGTTGAGATTCTCGAAGTGACTTATTTAATGCAATTAAATGCTTGCTGTGTATCTATCAAATGCCAGGCACTGCACTAACACTTGGAAATATAAGCAAATCATGGTTACTGTCATTAATTAAGAAAGCAGAAGCAGGCATAAAAAGCCACCAAAATTCCTATAGTGAAAAAAATGTTCACATAATAACCACTTGAGCATCAATATATCATATGCCCAGGGATAAAAGAAAGAATCAAAGTGGAAGAGAGTCCCATGATAGTACTACAGAATAAAACAAAACTTCCCTACCCTATTCACAGAATTATTGTGTTCATGATAAAGCACTATGTAGATTTAAAAGAGGGGAGGGGAGAGAGACACAAGCCCAAAAGCATTTCAATAAAAAAGATAAATAAATCGGAATGTGCAATTTCTGCAATTACTGCTCAAAGTTATCATAACCAAAACGCCATAGAGTTTCTTTATAAAACGCAAAGAAAAAACTTTTGTAAAGTTTAGGACATTTATATAAAAATTACATGGGACACAGGAAACCTAAACGGGTTGTGTAAAGGTAGCTGAAAGTAAAAACTAGTTTCTACTCAATATATCCAGGAAATTATGTCATACATTTTGCTTACATGACACTGCCCACTGAAGAACAATGGCATTGAACTATTCTGTATTTTTGTAATTTCCTTGAGAACAGAACTAAAAAATCCAGTCAGCAGAC